ACAGATTTGTCTGACCTCAGTCTAAGAGGGAAATATAAAGAGGAAAAAAGCACATGTGAAGGGTGCTTGCTTTGGACTGGCAGCTATTCCTCGGGTCATATTTCCAAACAGCAAGTCCACACATTGTGGGCACATGAACTATGCTAAATGACAACCGCGCTGTAAAAAAACTCCTGAAACATTAACTTGTGATGAAAATTCTCTATATACAGTTTGTAAAAGAGAATCAAATATTCATCCAATACCGTTTTTGATCAATCAACCTTGTTCAGAGTTGAAGTAATGCTGCATTAAGGGTAAGCATGTTGAGAGAGATATGGTGTGGAGAGGAAACCCAAGAGATGGGCGCCTTTTCCCGCTAGCCTTCCATCAATCATACAGTAGTAGGCCATTAGGCGAGGCGGCAAACCACAACCAAAATCTGTCAGCTTCCATAAATGCTATCAACGCAACTCATGCAAGATATACAACAAAGAGAGCAGCATCCCAAAAGACAGATAGACAGGGTCTTCACGGCTTAGCTGGATATGAATTGGTCATCGAGACAAAATCTCTATGAATGATCAGCTAGGTATGCCGCCGCTGATGCAACATGGAGTCCATGTCTCTTATCTCGACATTTCTTTTTAACTGACGTTCGACAGATGTCGCCTGTCTGTGGATGCTTCCTAGACGATTGTTACCAAGATGCAATACAACTGCAGGTTGTAGTCTTAGGTTTACAAGTATTTCCAGGAGGCACAACTGCTGTGCAGGTAGAAAAGAAAACAAATGATTTGAGTACAAATATTTAATTTTTACTTGTTGTCATTTCACTTATCCCAGTTCATTCACCTGAATGTTAGAATTGTTCAGATTTTAGTTGGAGTTTACTCAAATCAGTTGGGGGCTACTTGGGAATTGAGAGCAGCTCGGTGCATTTCACCTTTTGTCCAATCAGGGAATGACTCCGCCTTTTCTTTAGGGCTTAAGGTAGAGAATTGCACACTCGGAGCATTCTGATCCTACCTCGACTTAACGCACACCTCATTTCAGCAGATATTCTACCACAAACAGTTTGTTAAGGCCCTTTTGAGACTTCTGTGCTTTCACAACCTTTTCTGACTGAGAGTGTTTTGATTATTCTGGAACCTAGCAAAGTGAATATTAAAAAAACCTTTCCTGGGGCACCAAGGTAGCTCAACTGGTAGAGCTGACCCCATTTACTAAGGCTGAGTCCGACTCACGGCCCCATGATGCATTTCATCCCCTCTTGGACTAAAAATATATATATTTTTGGTTGGGAAGTGGTTCTCAGGCTACTTTCCGTTGGCGAAAATCTTAGAAATTGGTACTGCTTCACCGGGCAGTAGCAAGATACATTTATATTATATTAGCTTCCTACTATATGACCTCAGGCACTTTAATATTATATTGGACAAAACTGATTTCCTTGGGTTGTAAATGACAAAGCACTGTTTTTTTTAAGTTTAGGTCAAGGGAGTTTGAATTGTGCACCTACAGCTCACCATTACTTAGTTAATATATTATCATGGTTGCAGAAGCCAGTAGATTTCCCTTATTTCCCTTGCTTATACTACTTAGAAATGTGTGGGTGTGTACAGATGATGCTTGATTGGCATCTCTTTCACACTCCAATTAGTTTAATTTGCACCTGCCAAGCAAGATGACTTTAACCTTGATCACTTTTTCTAGTTCATGGCGTGAGGTAACTTTGTAGACCCCAAGGATAATTCGCTTAGCTTTAACTTTAGCATACAAAAAGATAACACTTGTGCAGGTATTCAGGGTATAGATAGGACAACATTACTTGTATACGATTCAAGTGATGATGGCTGAATTCAGTTTTAGGGTCCTGTTTTTGTTCTTAATGGATTAGCCATTTACTATGTTTACAAGTACTCCAACTCTGAGTGCTATTCCATTGCACTTTGCCATTTTAACTCCATTTTCAGAAATGAACGAGTAGTTGGGAACACATTAGAAATCCTCCAACTTAGAGAGAGAAGAATCAGTGTAACATAACTGTGGTTTGGTTTTGTGACTGCAAATGAAAGACCTTAATTGTGTGAATACTTACACTCTGTTGATGTCCTCTTCCTGGCTAGGCCATCACCTATTGCTTTCACCCAGCAATCATTGTCTTCAGAAAGGCAGCCCTAATAAGGTCTTGTTAGCCTGTTTGTTGGTGAGACTCATGACAAAACAAAATATATATATCATTGTTGAATCTTTGGTAGACTGTTGAAATGCTATAACTTCTCATAGTAGATATGTATTTAGTTTATAAAGACATAACACATATACATGCTTTTTTTCTTTATTAAGTTTTTTAAAGCATAATGTGAGGATTTGTCATATCCTATTCATATTTTGAATAGACAATGCTAAAGTGGGTAATGCTGAGGATTACATTTCTCATTGCAAAATAGTTGCTGCAATACAAAAAAGTGTGCTTTGATGTTTTTTATTGATAGCTCTGATGTAATATACCAATCTGTCCTCCATACCAGTACAGTACTGGGGATTGCGGAATAAATTGAATGCATGATTGTTAGCATGGATGTTTAACATCTCATTCTACTATAATAACTCCTTACCCTGCCAGACAAGTTTAAAAAGGTATGGATAAATACTCTGAGTAATTCACCCTTATAAATTAACCAGCCGCCTGTTGGATTACTACCAAGCCATTAAAATGTTCCCACAGCCATAATCCAGAATAGAATGACAGTACAGGGAGAGCAGGTACATTCATGGGTCACACGTGTGCGTAATGTTCCCACAGTCGAGAATCTCTCCCCTAATCACCAGAGATTTTAAAAAGCTCCCATCAGCTTGCTTTATTTAATTAATTGCGTTATAGCTTGTCAGGATAATGTAAAGCTACAGTTACACTCTCTCCTGTCCCGCTGGGTGCTTTACCTCTTACTCACAACAGATGACACATATGGATGCAGAGAAAAATCAAAATGAGTTACATTAAAAATTAACCAAAATCTAACCAAGCATGAAGCTATTATGACCCGAGGCAACCGGATATACTGTACCTGATTTAGCCCCATCAGGCTTCAGCTGTGAGGAGAAAGCCTCCCTGCCCATGCATTATTTCTGTCCCTAGAGCCATTGTGTCTCTTATATTTGCAGAATAGTGAAAACTCCAAACTGCACAGGTAGGTAATAAGGTAATACCTGCAGTGAAGCAAGCTTAACTTTTCCTATATACTCTTAAAGTCATTGCTTTTCTCCTTGTCCCTCTCCATTGTCGCTCTTCTTTTCCCCTTAACTCTGATAAGACTGCACACACATGATATCATGGGGTTTTGATAGCAAATTACAGAATTGATCTGGAGCTCAGCAGGCAATTATCAGTGTAAGAGCCACGTTGCATATCAATGAGCTGAGGCAGTGAACAAAAAAAAGAAGTACCAATCCTGTTCCTGCTGCAATATTGCTAGTATTCTCCATTGCATGTTTTGATGCCTGGGAGCTCTGTGGGGGGACATTTCTAGATCTAAAAATGTTATTTACTTTTCCGAACCGATCAGAAGAAACCGATGCCTGACCCCTGCACACAGGCATGATAAAACCTGCAGTATAATGGATTATTTCACCTCCAAAATCCTGGATCACCTCCCTCTCTCCCCTGCTGTTCTCTTTCTCTCTCCAATTCAGCTGAACAAATACCCGTGTTTTTACAGTTACGACAGACAGAAAGCCAATGCTGAAGCACACACACCACCAGCATTATTGGCGTGCTGTTCCCTCCGACAAGGAGACGACAACAATGACGCTATTCAGTAACCTTGCTGAGAAGCTGGTAGACGCCGCTTGTTGATAGGCAACTCTCTTCTTTTTTTTCCCCCTGTGGACTTGGAAAAGGCAATTAATATTCCTTTGCTGAGTGGAGGCTTTCGTTTTAGGCTGGTCACGTGAAGTGCACTGGCTGCCACCTCCCCACTCTTACAAGTCAGATAATTACCTATTTAGATGTTGCTGAGGAGGTGTGTGTGTGTGTGTGTGTGTGTGTGTGTGTGTGTGTGTGTGTGTGTGTGTGTGTGTGTGTGTGTTGCTGGACGCGTGTTGGACTGCTGCCACGGCTTGTGAAAAGAAGCACCATGAAGTCGACCTGTCACTATGAGTTAGAGACACGGGATGGCCAACTACAGTGAGAAAAGGGAGCACAGAACACTTACCATCAAAACTGTAGAAACAGACTGAGTGTATTAATACTCCGCAAATAGATTCACATTCTGAAATGCCATTTTCTTTATGTTTGGGTTGCTGTTTTTTGGGATCCGATATACCCAAAAATGTACGTCGAAAGTAGGCTAATTACGGTTGATTTAATTGAAAGCTGTCAAATTTGGGCTGTTAATGGGCTCCACGCGGAGGCTTGCTGAGGTGAAGGACTTTCGGAAAGGTCAGCTGACTCACCACTGCTCACCCCCCTCAGCTCTACCTACCCACACATCTTAAATCGCAATCAGGGATGGAAAGCGGGGCTGTTCGTTAGCTTGGTATCCAGCAGTCTCTTTTATCTCACTCCTCTTTCCCCCTAACCGTCTCAGGTTGGCGTGAAGCGGCCTTAACACAACCACGCAACCGCCGGCCCTCCTTTTCCCGATCCTTTCCTCCCCTTCCTCTGTAGAAACACTTTGCGTGAACCCCCCAGAGGTGCGAAGGGGGCGAACTGCTGGGAAACTACTATTGAACCCCCTCCTGATCAGAAACACACACTCCACTCGACCCGCCTCCCCCCCGCTGCCTCCATACCGCCCTCCTCCCCGACTTCCAAGTCTCCCGGCTCTGCTCCTCTGTCCGGATTTTTTTTTCTACTACTGCCAATCAGTGGAGCATTTCTCTCAGAGCGACTTGTGGCAGGAGAGAGTGACAGAGTGTGTGAGTGTGCGCATATACGGACACAAAGCCTTGCACTAAGCTGAGGGCGGCTCCAAGGCTTCCCCCCTGAGGCAGAGCTGAGATTGAGGTTATTATTCGGTGTGAGTGGGATCCAGCTGTGTGAGGAGAGAGATGGTGAGCTGGTCTGTCTGCATTGTGGCTCCTCCAACCCTGATGTCCACTGGGAACCGGCACAGAATATTGCAAAAGACAAATACTTCACCGGTCACGCACAAATGGAAATGTATTTATTTGCCTAACAGTAACTCTGTTTTATTTTTTAACGCTCACACTGAGGATACGTTTTGTTTGTCCTTTTTGGGTTGTAATTGTATCAGTTCAATTTAAAACAGAGTATATAGTGCCCCCACTATGAATATGATGCACACAGAGGAGAACTTAAGAGAATCCTTATGTATCCCTAGATGGCAGTAGTAAGTCAGTGCACTGCTGCCACACAGATGAGTGTGTCTTTGGCTGTGTGTGAGCATGTGTCTGCCTGTTTCTTTTCCCTTGAGGTTGATAAAGTGTGGTAGCATAATTTCCCCCCAAAAAATATTTAAAATGCAAGTAATAATAGAAGGAAGAAAAGAGATAGTGTTTTCAAAATAGTCCTTGTGCCATGCTGTTTCTTCGCTTACAGGACCGGGGTTATTCCTTCACTCATGAATAAATAGAGATTACGGAAGCTTTTTTTTTTTTATGTTTTCACACAAAGACAATTAACTTGAAATTGCTTTGTTGAAATTGCTCTTCAAACAGCTAAGAACAAGAACAGGAAATGGCATCACAGCTACTCTGTAAATGTGAGAATTGAATGTGCAATGTTCATCTCCTCTGAGACGTTGCATAAAATTGCACTGCAGGAACAATCAACTCTTGTACAATAACACATGTTGGTTCACATTGACACTGGCTATTGATGACTTCCGTGTGAGACAGAGGATTAATATCCGTATGACAAAAGGCGGCCATATTTGGAACAAGACTATAAAAAAAAAACATTCTGAAGACTGTTTGATGGAGGCTGAAACACATACAGCTCTATGTTACATTATCCTAACAGACCGGTGCATTTTACCTTTTCAAAAAAGTCATTTTCAGCATGATGAGAATGCAGTGATTTATGCAGCAAATGGCCTGTCATCCCACTGCTTGATTAACAAGCACCGAGACCCTGGGGGACACCCGTGGATCCTCATCACTTCATGGCCCAGGCGCAGGACTGCACTCTCCCTCAGCAACAACCAGAACCAGACTTCCTGCTTTTCCTGAATAACTGTCAAAAGAAACAAAACCGACGTCAGACAAGATATTTTTTAGGGGCAGATCCTCGCTCAGTCCTCCCTTTTTAAAAATCACTTCTAAAGCTGGAGAAGAATGCTGAACCTATAAGCTGAAAATGTCGGGGCTATCAGGATGATAATGAGCCTGCAACTATGACAGGGTCAAACAGGATCAAACGCTGCTGCTAATTTTGGATCATGCAAAACAAGAAGTGCGGGCCGAATGTGGTGCGAGGGTTGGCATGGTGATCACTCATGTCAGTCAGGGACAGGAGCACCAAGGCGACCTGCAGGGCCACAGATGTACGACCCAGAAGTCACGTGAGGTGGGCCTCCGTGTAGCCGCATGTCAGCGTATACTCATGACAAGCCCCCTTCCTGTCCTGTATGTCAGGACCTGTACCGCAAGTGAATGACACGCTATGCATGAGCGGCCATTAGTCTGCACTAGCTTATGCTATTCAGTGGTACGACCAGTCACTAGCTCTTGATTCCCTCTGACACGGCCGCTACTAAAGCCCGCTGGACCGCGCTGAGAATCATTCCTATTGACATGTGCCTTTATGCATGGCAACACTCACATTTCATGAAAGGGTTGTTCAATGTGAGCCGATGTGACTGTGTAAAGGTGGGTGACTCTAGATAATTAAGGGCAGAGGTGAATAGAAGAGGCAACATTTCAAGAGCTAATGCGGCTCTGGTGTTAGCGCATATGTACAAATCATTTCGAACATAAGTAGAGCACTTTATCAAAGTCTGAAAAAAAAAAAAGCAGTTGTAGCTGTTCAATCAAAGTGTAGCCACTGTGATTGTGATGGGAACAATTCAGTCAGCTCTCAGAAAGAAGGGGAAAAAATGAAAGCCTCATGGAATTATTCATTTGTTTTTTTCTTCCAGTAGCAGAAATCAGTGCAATCCTGGCAGTGAGAAACAGCAGAGACTCCTTGAGAAATGTCCTTGAAGACTTGAACTTGTTCATTCTCGGTGACAACTCAATAATAAAACACGACAGATCGTTCCGCATGAAAGTTAGGCATGTAGCCATCCAATCCCGGATACATTTATCTGTCACCGTAAACAATGTTTCGCTTAATGAATTTATGACGCTCTGACAGGACATGGCTGCTTGTATTTGAGCAGCACTAACAGCTTGGTTCATCCGCTGGTAATGAATACGTGTTGCAGAAGTACATGCATTTAGGAGAAGCGTTTAAAGAGGACATTTGAATATTTTGCAGTGATGCAGTCGACAGAGACAATGCTTAGTTTCTTCCTTAGCAAGTCTCTTTCTGAATATTATCGTTTTAATGATAACAGGTAAGATTTATATAGCCCTTATCACACTTCTCAAAGACACTCTACTTACAGAGGGGAAAATAATCAAACTTTAAAAAAAAAAAAAAAGAGGGAAACATATACTTTATTTTGTATATTCTGGACAAGATGGGTCAGTCTCCTGTGTCAACAATCTTTACTAGGTTCCATATTAACTTATATTTTACTGGTGTACTTCATTACATTGCATTTAGCTGACGCTTTTATCCAAAGCGACTTACAATAAGTACATTCGACCCGGAAGATACAACCTTGAAGAAAACAGAATCATATAAGTACATCAGGTTTCATAGAGCCAAACATTTCAAGTACTACTCAACTGGCTTTAGATAAGCCAGACCTTTATTAGTATATAAGTGCTTTGTTAGTAATTCTATCGCTCGAAGTGGAGTCGAAAGAGATGAGTTTTCAGTCTGCGCCTGAAGATGTGTAAGCTTTCTGCTGTCCTGATTTCAATGGGGAGCTCATTCCACAATTTTGGAGCCAGGATAGCAAACCCACGTGTTTTTGCTGATGGGAACTTGGGTCCCCCTCGAGGGCGGGTGCAGCGACACAAGAGAGACCACACAAACATTTTTTTTGTCTTTTCTTCAATTTGTTTTTCTGCAACCACTTACTGATGGACGACAGAGAAGTTAGCTCTCTCATGACATGATAAGACCTACGTTCTGATAATAGTACGCTGAAGAGTGGTATGGTATATTAACCAACCTGTCCTCCTCCAAAAAATGACCAAATAGGTAGATTGTTCAGCAGCTTATTACGACCTAGAGTCACGGTTTAAAGTTTAACACCTCTAGTGGTCGTGTAAGAAACAACAATTTGAGGCATATGCTCCCGTTGATTGCAAATGCTCCGGAGGGTCGTATATTCACAAATAACCCTCTCTGGAAAATCCTAAATTATAGGATCGTTTGGCCATTAAAATGCTTTTTGATGCTTAGATTTCTAGCGAGAAGTGTATATTGTACTTTTAGAATCCACGTCCAGTGGATGTGTAGGATCTATAGTTTGATAGATATTACAAAGATTATTTGAGGTCTCGCCAGGAGAACGTATATGCGGCAGCGTCCATGTAAAGTTAGCGTCAACCCTCATGGGGTGAAAAAAGTATTTCAAATTTATATTTGAAGAAATAGCAGTTTTTGTGTTACTATCCCAAGCTTCCATAAATGGGTCAAACATGACCCGCATGCATTTTGTATGGAATCCAATGGGAACCTCTGATTCTTATCGCCTGTGGCTGTCAGGAATACATTCACTGTGGACCACAAGTGACACCTCTCAGGAAGATTATTTTACACAGCAAGATCTGATACCTGTATGTATAATAATAATATACACATTATATTTGTATAGGGCTTTTCAAGGACTCAAAATCGCTTTTCAATTTAAGGGAAGGTTAGGGTGGGGGGTATAGGGCTATCAAACTTGATCAACCGGCATGGATTGATGGGGGGTGGGCTATGAGTAGACAAGAGGAGAAGAGACGAGTTTCGGAAAAGGACTGGAATACTGTGCGGGTCTCAATATGTTCAAAACCATTTTTTTCTAAATGTAAAAAAAATGTCTAAAATGATGTGATTTTTCTTAACCAAAATGACAAAAATGGCATAATAACATGTGTTATTCTAGTACAGGTCCTTCTTGACCCACTTATGGAAGAGTGTAGGGTCCAGTCACTCATGGATCTAAGGGTTAAAGTTGTGTAAAGATCAGGGTTTTTTTTCCTAAGCCCTTTAAAAACGATGTGTTCATGTTACCTTTGATGTGTTACACCTTTGGCCGTCAGATATAGCAGCTATCAAACTAAACCTAACTAGCATTTTGAAAGTTACTAAACTGACCATGATTGTATGGCTGCACCTTTGATAGTTGGTGACCCTCCTACACATAAAGTTTAGTATTCTTTACAGTTCACACTTTCTCCTCAGTGAGTTTGTTCACCTTTTAACCTCTTGCACATATCAGTATACAGATACATGATGGAACACTCCTATGTTTCATACATTGTTTAGTATTTTTGCATTTCATTAGTTTCTGTATGTAGTCTGCTAAGCTACATTTAGTTCAGTTTGCCTTAAATCATGCTAGTCTCTATCTCTTTGACTTACCAGAGATGAGGATGCCACTGCTTGTGGGTCATCTTGGGCAAAAGGTGCAGCACCTGAAACAGAGCTCTGAAATACAGGAAGTGGCCAACCAGATTGTACCAGGTGCCTGTCAGATCCTGTGGGGGGAGATTGAGATTTGGGATATATTATAATAATAATATAATTGGAATGTATTCATTTGTTCATGCTTTATTCTTGGTCAATTTCTAAAACTGATGCTGATCGACTTACTGTACTATTTAGTTGTATTCTTAGTTTAAGTGTTTGCCTTACCTGTTACGAACTCAGATACTCAGGATATAGGACCCAATGGCAACAACCCAGGAGACAGAGGTAAAGTACTTGTAAGACACTTTATTTTCAGTAGGTGAACAAAAATAAACAATATCAAATCTCAAAATGAGATGAAATAAGGGTACGAAAGAAAACCGCTCACGTAGTGAGGAACAAAATCTTCTTAGTATCAAGGAGAGCATAGATCTGACCTAGGCATGAGCCAAGAGGAACTGACAATGAACACTGGGAGACTGGGGAATTTAAACACAGGACAACAAGACACAGGTGAAAACAATCAGGGGCGAGGCTGGTGCTGATGAGCACAGGAGACACACAAGGGGTGGACAATCAGGAAGCCTGGAATGAGAGGCAAATGGTGAGTGACAAAACAAACATAAAACAACATGAAAATGAAACTCTCTTAACATTTCTGTCAGTGCACAACATTACCACGCTGTTTTAAAGAATGGTATGATCCCCCATGTGTTTTTTTAGCCCTTTGGCTTCAATTTGTTTGGTGAGATTTGTCTTGGTGTGTTGGTTGGTTTATTTACCTTACTTTCTGTTCTCTTAAGGTTGAGTTCTGTTCATTTCCCTTATTTAACATGCCCAATAAAACATATGTAAATGGTTTAACTTTCTTTGTTGACTTGTTGTTGACTCCTTATGCCAACCAGCTTGGTGCCTCACAATGATCAAGATCTTCCGAACAGCTCCACAGAACTTGAGGTGAGATTGTTTTTTTGTAATTTGCTCTTTGCAAGCTCTTTTGAACGATGGCACAACCTTATTAAAGCAGTGTGTGTTAAGTATATTACTTTGCAATTGCCTGTGGTTTTACTGGTTTTAGGGCAGCTTGTAATTGCCTGTAAAATACTCCAGTCTACATTCCAATAACCTTGGACTCTGCAAGTGTATAAACTGACATACTCCTACGGTAGAAAACCATGCCACCCCTGCATTTGACTTTAGTTTCGCCCTGATCGACCCACACCAATATTTAAACATTGTTTGCTGTCTACACATGTGCATGCTATATGCATTGCTCTCATTTTCTACTCCAAACATTGTTCAAAGCTATGACACGCTGCTATTCTGAAGTTCTCCCACACTCAGCTCAGATACATCATCCATTCCAAACAAAGGAAAATATCTACTTATAACCCTCAGCAGCTCTGATGATTGTAGCCATGACTTCACAGCACATAGGCATTTTATCTTTGAAACGAAAATAGAATTTTGGAAATTACTAACCCTAGAAATTTGTTTTTCTTAGCCGTGGGATGTAAAAAAGGCAAATCACAAATGTAAAACCTCAGAACTGTGTGAAATTGCTCTTTTAAGTTTGCGGATATGAATACTCTTGCTGTTATAACACCCACAACCCTAGTGGTAAAAAATAAACCTTGTATTAAATAGCGTATATGTGTTTTATATGGCTGCAGAAAAATACTTGTACTGACTCATGAAGAATTATACTGTATAATATATTATTACTGGTGATGCAGTACCAATTTTGCCATACATTTAAAAAATGTTTCACTTTAGGTGCACTTAATTGCCGGCAGCTAAATTTAAACAATATCATGTGAGATTTACTGCATCATAATATCACCATCATCTTGTCAGGCTTAAGTAATTCATTTTCATCCGAATGACCATTGATCTGACCAATCAGGTTCCTCCATGCCTGTGAGGAGCTATACTGGCAGCTATGGGCGTCGTTTAGGTGCTGATTTGTCAGCAATTATATCAGAACAATAGTATTCATATAAGAAGTTCAATGAATACACGGAAGGATTTGCTCAATGTAAAATATGTTTTGCACTCTTCTTCTGACTGGTTTTGGCAAGGCTTTGATTGAAATATGGCTCCTCCAATCAACTGCCAAGTATTATAATTTGTTGTGCCAACTAATTTCCATAATGGCTTCTCAGATGGTTCTGTCAAACAAACCATATGGTATATATGGTTAATACATTGAAACACAAACATTTCCATTTTTTGTAATCAGAATTGTGAACCATTAGAATTAAGTCTATTGACTGTTTTCTGCAGAAAGTGGATAAAAACAAAGAAGATTAAGGCCAATTTTCACAAAAATACCATGCAGACTTTGTAATAGCCCCTTGAAAAACAATAGACCTTTCCAAAAGATTGACTCTTTAAATATGTTGGAGTGTCAGGAACTCTTAATCCAACTAATTTGAAGTCTGTGCATACACGTTTCTTTCAGCTATCTGTAGTGTTGCTGCTGGTCAGTTTTTCCTGGTAATCATTTAAAACTCTGGTGAGTCTTTGTAATTTAAAACAAATGTTCTGCTCAAGACATGTCTCTTTCACATGTCAGTGCATGCTTACAGTACTGAAATATTTTTAATAATTGCCTTCTTTTTAGCTCAGCGCCATATTTTTGTTGCTCCTCTATCGAAACAGCAAGAAAGTCTCAAGTGGACTGCAGCAATTCACCGAAATGACATTTATCACAGCAGTTCCCCTCTTCTAAATCAGAGGGCTTCCAACTTTTCTCGCTGTGCTTCTGTTATTTTTGTTTACCTCTGTCAAAGATAAGCACTTACAAGGTAGCAACACAAAAGCTTCCAATTATTCTTCAGGCAGGCTTTTCACCTGAGCTTTATGGCAACAGAACACAACTGCCTTGACTACAAATTGGCAGTTACTCCATGAACCTCTGGTGCATTAGGCCAAAGCACTGTGAAAATATACAAACACTAAAGTGACCACAGCTTCTCAGACGGATCAATAAGCCTCATGGTCTGGTATTTAGGAGGGATGTTTGAAAATGTTGCCATGTAGTAGAGTGTTGCCCTTTTAAGATAAACGGGGGAAAAAAGGGCCAACAGTTTGCAGTTCTCTCTGTAGCTCAGTTCTTAAGGACATGGCTTTGGAGGGTTGCTGGTTCAAGTCCAATAGGAACCAGTGTGTGGACTGGCACCTTGAGAGAGTCCAATTCTCCTCCTGATCTCTACCAAGGTGCTGTTGAACAAGGCACTAGATCTCTAAACTCTAATAGCTGCCAACTGCTCTTAAGAAAAGGAAGGGTTACATACAGTGTTAATATCACTGTGTTTTCAATTGTGTGTGTTGATTATTGTTTTATTTTAGGATTCGACATTTGGTCTGTCGGAATCAGTCAGGTTTACGCAACAGATTTTTGTTTCTTTGGCAGTAGTGGTGGCAGACTACCACTGACAGTAACTCAGTTCGTAGGGACATGGCTTGAAGGGTCGCGGGTTCAAGACCCGGAAAGGACCAAATTACAATGTTTCAACTGTACTCGTAAATGGGACGATTTACCGATGTGCCAATCAGCAAAGCACTTGACACTACTTGACAACTATGAGCAGTCTAAATCTGACTGTGTGTGCAATGTCAAGTTGAATCCTCAATGTATTGGTTGAGTTCTGGGTTGTCCTTGACATGACTGTAAAGAAGCTCAGTCACATTTGCCCGCATTGTTATAAAGATTAAGGCTAAAAGCTTAATCTGTATCATATGTTTTAGTAGGACGATACAGGATATTTGATTATGTTTTAAAAGTTGGAGACAATGGTGAGAGCAGAGCTTAGTCCCCTTTCATTCTCTGACTTTTTCTTTTTTTTGACTAACCCCCCTGTCTCCGAATCACCTCCCCCGGACTTCAGTCTGACACCCACTGCACTGACTGCACAGCTAACCAATATGATGAATTTCAGGCGAGCTGCGCCACCTTGATGGCGTTTAATCATTGAGAAAAAGACAGGAAACGTACTCATTCTTTATCCTCCTACACTCCCCCACCCCGCCTTCCCCTCCCTTGCCCCTGACTCTCATCTCTCCTGCCGTCTCCGGTGCGTCTGTTCAGCTGCACAGAGCGGCGGTGTGCATGTGTCGCGGAGCGGGGGGAGCGCTGCACTGTTCTGCGCACCGGTTCCGCTGGACATCACCGTATTACGGCGCTACGACAACCGGGTGGTGGTGGTGGTGGTGGAGGGGGAGACTGGACCCCGGACCGGGAGCAGGAGCAGGACCGGGAGAAGCACCGTGGCTCTTTATAGCCCGCTCTCCGAAAACATGTCCGAGTTTTTCCTATTCGCTTTTCTAGCCCTGTTCTCGGGATTATTTCCGTGCGCCGAGCCCTCGGCGGTGTCGGGCGAGGAGAGAGGTAAGGATCACCGGGCCGTCGGGGATGCGCAGTCCGGGGAAAACTTGGCACCACGGGGCCGTTTTATAGTGCTGTCTGGGCTTGTTCCAGGCACCAAATGTGCAGACGCTGGATGTATAACCTGTCTTTAAAAGCCATAATTCATGCATGATAAAGAGTGTGAAATTGCTCGTCATTCTTCTTTTTGTCCAGTGTGGGATGATACACTGGAAGTCTGTATCTCTTCTGCTGTCATCCAGGATGTTGCGTTATAATGCGAGGCAGCCGATAAATCCCAAATAACGACACTACCTTAATTGGAACACATTGAACTTGCCCTGCGCATTAGGAAAGCTTTTCATTTTCTTTTGTGCATTTTCAGGAACATTATGGGCTGTTGGGAGCCAGAATAGAATCAGTGTCGCTGACTGCAGGCGGGTAGCAGCGCTATCCTACGGTGCAGCAGGTGAAAAATATTCCCCGTGCCAACGTGGGTTTTGTCCCTCACCGAGAGTAGCTTGTCTTTCTGGCCCGGGAGCATCACAGCGTCTGGTGGATACGCAGTTGGTAGGACTATAGTTCTGAGGAGACAACTCTAGATCTTCGGTGCTGTGTGTAATCTTGTAAAGTGATGTCTAGGAAGTCATCTATGAGTAGCATAATTGACTGTTGCACGTAGGAAATTAAATTAAGTCACTAATTTACAGCATATCTGTATCCCTGAGTGCTGTCTCGCAGGATATTCACATTTAGAACACTTCCTTCTGGTGTCCTGGGACCATTTGAGGGCATAGTCAACCAAACTAACCTCACCTAGTTTATTTGCAGAAATAAGATATTTATGCCAACCAATATATTTCACTGCTACAATCACAGAGGGTTATTTATTTTATGATCATGTTTTTCCTCAAATGAAGAAAATCCACTACTAAACTATGTTGGAAATGGATACTTTTGCTGAATTTTTATTTGCTAATACTTCAACTTTTTTTGGGTGCCCTTTATTTTTTGAGGGCTGACATTTGGGTTTAGACATGCTACATTATGGGAAAGGTGCACACTGTACCTGCTCCATAGTATCGGGATACTCGCAGTGACAGGAAGCAGATGTATCTATACAAACTTGAATGAATGCTGTTGTGGAGCATAGTATTTCCATTAACTGGCCTCAAAGTCACAGCTCCCTCACTACTTCGTCCTCCTGCATAGCAATGACTGCCGAGATCTGTTTGGTTGTTTGTGAGACTGTCCCAAATGCAACACAGCATGGAAAACCGGAGCTTGGGAGTTCGCCTGGCAATCACAGTAGGCGAGAGAAACACGGTTTACCTCTTCCTGTGCATGAAATGAAAATATGAATTTGTCTCTTCAAGTCCCTGAGGATGCCCATGCTCTAGGAGGAGTGGTGATGGTGGGAGGGGGGGTGGAGAAAACACACATCTGACATTTTTATAGACTGCTGAAGTTTGTTCGTGAGCTTTGCAGCACTGAGCTTGATTTATGTAGATGGAATTAAGGTTAAGAACGTGCCATTGGATTTTCACGTATGGGCCAGTAGGATGATATTTAAATTTGGAACAGTTAATCTGGGATAATATATTCAGACACACGCGCAGATCTGAAAGTAACATTGGGACCTAGGTCTTTGTCTGCGAGCTGATGGCGTCCTGCTCCTCTGCTTCTGGAACGAGAATAAATGAAAGCTCTCGAAGCCGTGTCTAAATGGACACTAATGATGATAGCATTTCTTATTTCTTCCAACACCAAAGCTGGTTGTTAGCCTAATTAGTCCAAAAATTAATTTGCTTTTTGGTAGCAGCAATGTTCCCTTGAATGCCAAATAGTGGTTTTTCCATTTGAATTTGGAATGTTCTTTTATTGAATGGCTTTTTTCCTCTTTAGATCGCCTGTCCCACTCCTTATCTATTTTGTCCATCTAACATTGAGAATGCTGACCTGGCCGCCATGGCAGCACACTACTGATCTCACAAAGACAGGCTTTAGAAATTCAGACAGTCCAGTCTGCCACCTGTTTATGCAATACAAATAATATCTTTTAGATGTTTTTTAAATTTTCCTTTGCTTGATCTCTGTCAGTGACCGTGCAAGATAAGCATCACTTAGCACAAACAGCTCAAGGTTGTTTGAAATGTATACCCCATTTAAAAAGATGATTGTATAGTGGAAGATAGGTCCATGCACTAATACAGGGAAGGCGGCCTTTAGGAGCTAATTAAGGGAGATAGTATCGCCAGAGTGCATGCAAGTGCCCGTGTGTGTCAGTGTGTGCAAAGGCCAGCAAAAAATCTAAGTGATGGAGCGTTGTTTGTGTCTGCTGCATGTTGGCCAGGGGAATAACAACACATATAGGTTTTCATGGTTTTAACCCCTTAAACTTAGTTTCCTTCCGTTTTGAGTGTTTGCAAATTAAGATTTTTACTTATAAAAAGTGCAAATAGGCAACACAACCTATGGACTAAATCATTACTGCATAGGATCATAGCATATAACTTATATAGGACATTGTGTGATCTTAATATGCCCTTACATCTGGTATTTTATCACTCATTGTAATGGAAGAAGAAACGTTCATTTTTTAAATTTTGCAACCTACATGTTCTGTGAAATTACTTCCATTTTATAGTCTTTTTAACTTTTATTTTATTTAACTTGGAATCATGCAATATGTTGTAACATCAACATATGAATGGATCTTTTAAATATGAATAATACAAAGTTGAGTAGTATATTCCATAAAAAACATTGACCTTGATGGTAATTTTCTTGAACTTCTGAACAGATGGCCTCAGGTTGTGTTATGGAAATTGTGAGTTTTTTTGGTACTCGACCCATACAAGGGAGAATCGGTCTGGATATTTCTAAGCCTGTGCTGCTTCGATTTGGACCGCTCTTTTAAAATCTGTCCCTTGTGAGCCCTCTCTAACTTTTATGGAAGTGCATCACAAACGCACTGCTTGAAGTCAGAGAGCCTGGGATAGGAGGGTGAAAAAAGCCCCAGGATAAACTTTAGGCTATAGCATTTATGTTCTTTCCTCTGTTATGTGGTGTGCAGCATTTGAACATTTCCTAGATAAATATGTTATTTGGAATTATACAGAAGTACAAATATTGAGATAACTAATGTGTTACTCGTTACCTGAAGCTGTCTTGTCAATGTTACATTTCTAAAAAGGGTCATCTTGTAATCCAATTACTTCTAGTAAAGCACACCATGCTAATATTTCTTAGGTACAACATTATTCTTTAACAAAGGCCCCATTTTCAAGCATTTTATTAATCAATGTATTTATTGAACATGTCAGAAACAAAAACATACAACAATAAGATATATATATATATATATATATATTTTCATTCTCTTTTTTCCTTTTTGTCTCACTCAAATTAATAATTATAAAAAAGTACATAAAAAAAACAATAATAATTCTCAAATAGTCTGTCATGTTCAACAGGGGCAAGAAGAAGCTTAAAAAAAACTTGTCTGGTCCTACCCCCTCTAGCATATATTAGGTCATCGTCATCAGCGACATGTTTGTCTTGTTCATTTGTTTGCTTTTTGATTTTTAAAAAACAATCAGAAAGAAATTACTTGTACAATTACAAGAAATAACAACAAATGGGATTTTACAGGTCCTGTTCATAACAATTAATGATTTGGCTTCTAAATAATACTTTCAGTTTAGATAGACTTGTACAATATTTCAGTGCATCATTACAGTTATCCCACAGACTAACACCTTTTGATGAGATGCAATGAAAATGGCATTTGTTCGTACGGGTGTTTTTTTTGAAAATGCAGTTTCCTCTCAACATGTGCATGCTTTCTCTCCATGTGAAAAGTCCCTGGATATTATGAGGTAATTGTTGATTTGCGGCATTGAACATAATTTGAATAGTTTTATAGTCAACCAGGTCTTGTAGTTTTAGTGTTTTTAGTTTGATGAATAATTTATTTGTTGGTTCTCTGTACGTAGTTTTATGTATAACTCGTATGGCTCTTTTTTGCAGGATCAAGATGTGTATTTATTTTATATGTGTTCCACCAAACTTCCACACAATACATCATGTATGGAAGTATGAAGGAGCAGTACAGCATAAACAAAGAAGCTTGATTAATTAGGTATTTGGCTTTATTCAGAATTGCTATTGATTTGGATATTTTGGCTTTGATATAGCTTATATGTGGTTTCCAACTTAATTTATTGTCTATTATTACTCCAAAGCATTTTATTTCCGATACTCATTCTAATTGGACGCCATTTATAGTGAGTTTCTTCTCTTTATTGGTCGATCGATTCCCAAATATTATGAGTTTGGTTTTGCTTGCGTTCAATGTTAATTTATTTTGGTCAAACCAGATCTTCATCCTGCTCAGTTCCTTCTCCATTGTGACCAATAGCTGTTCTAAATTGTCCCCACAGCAGAGTAGACTTGTGTCGTCTGCAAAAAGAATGGTTTTAATAGTTTTTGATACTTCACATATATTGTTAATATACAGAATAAATAGTAATGGCCCCAAGACTGAGCCCTGAGGCACCCCACATGTAACCTGTAGTAGTTGTGATTTATGGCTTTGTAGTTCAACGTACTGTTCCCTGTTATGTAGGTAGCTGGATAGCCATGAT